TGAACCACACGCCAATGACTGGCGCTCATGCTCTCTGTCTGCCTTGTACTCTCCGTCGTGCTTGCTTCCGCCCATGGCAGGTGTATGTAGCAAACCACACGTCAATGATTGATTTCATCATTCTAGAGCAGCTCACGGCCTTCGCTGTCATCATGCAGAAGCACCAGGGCTGGGTCGGTGCGTGCAGGGTGGGGTGGAGAAGGGGTGAGGGGTGGTGGAGAAGGGGTGAGGGGTGGTGCTCAGTATGTGTTGGGGTGGTGTGTGTGGTGTTGGGGGCTGGGGGGTATTATATTGTTCTGTGCATCATTCTGGAGTAGCTCACTGCGTTTGCTGTCACCATACAGAAGCACCAGGCTGGGACAGTGCATGTGGGGTGGGGTGGGATGGAGGGGGGCGTATGGGCCGATGCGTGTGGAGTGCTTTGTTCAAGTCATCTGATCTGAGTAATGGTTCACGAGTGAGTGATGGGTCATGGATCGCAAGTCATCAGTCTTGGTCATGGTTCAGAGGTGATGGGTCATGGGTTATGGGTCGTGGGTCATGGGTCATGGGTCATGGGTTATGGGTCATGGTTCATGGGTTATGGGTCATGTGTCATAAATTATGAGCGTTGGTGGTGCGAGTGTAGTGTAGTTCAATTCCTCTACCTACCCCTCCCAACCGCTGTGCACCGCACCAATATCTCTTTCTGCTGTGAGCAGGGTTATTGCAGAAGACAGTGTTGGAGAGTGTGGGGTGCATCTGGTTCAACCGCACAGAGGCCAAGGACCGAGCCATTGTGACAAACAAGTAGGTGCCCATCGCTTATTAAAGCACAGGGCACTTGAGCCTTTTCTTGATTTGATTCCCCTTTTTCCGTGGACACCTGTCGTTCGCTCAATGTTTTTTCCTCTAGGCTGGACTTTGCCGTTATCTTGTATGTTGGAGCATTTTTCATTATCCTGAAATTTCCCATCCTTTGCAGGCTTAAGCAGCATGTTGCTAGAGCGGATGCCAACCCGCTGCTTATATTCCCCGAGGGCACATGTGTTAATAACGAGTACACAGTCATGTTCAAGAAGGTGCGTCGAGACGAGTGTGAGCATATGTGCTGTTAACAATGTCGCTTGTCTTTGCTGAAATCGATTGTGAGAGTATGCATTGGTATGGAACCAGGTACAGGTATGTGCTCAAGCTCATGGCAACTTGGCATGGCAACAATCCCCTTCATCCCCCATATAGTGTCTGTTGGCCGTCCATCCACCATACGTGTAACATGTATACATCATGCATCTCCATCCCCCCCACTCCCCACTCCCTTCACCATCCGTGCACAATTGGTTAGGAGAGAGAGATGCGTTTGCTTTTAGTACAGATTCTTGATAGATTCTTGTAACCACCACATGGAAGTTGCTTTTAATACGTCTACACCAATGTCGTACACTTACAATTCTATTTTTCTTGTATAGACCCTGCAGCGAAGGGATTTTTATAGAGAACCAAAAAACAGATCTTTAAGCAAATTAGATTTGTGAAGACATATTGGAGCTTCATGTGGCGGTTACGAGAGCCCATCAACCACAGCAGCAAACGCATCCCTCTCGAGTTGAAGTGTGTCCCGTGCCCCATAGCCAGCTGTTGTGATCTCCCGTACATTCACCATCCACCTTCCCTGCCTCCCTCCCTCTCCTCACCATGCGTGCAGGGAGCATTCGAGCTGGACTGTGCAGTGTGCCCCATCGCCATCAAGTACAACAAGACCTTTGTCGATGCCTTCTGGAACAGCCGCCAGTACGCATCTCCACCCACCCCCCACCATTCCTCCCTGCCCCTCTGCCCCCTGCCCCTCTGCCCCCCTTGCTCCCTTAACCCGTGCCTCCTTGCTTCCTCCCCACATGTTCCCATGCCTTTCCATGCCTTCATGCCCCCATGGCCCCACGTCCCACCCTTGGGTTATCTGCACGCTTGTGTTTTCCCCAACCTCGTGTTAGGCCCTCTCATGGTGCAACCTCGTGTTATGCCCTCTCATGCTGCAACCTCGTGTTAGGCCCTCTCATGCTGCAACCTCGTGTTAGGCCCTCTCATGCTGCAACCTCGTGTTAGGCCCTCTCATGCTGCAGCCTCGTGTTAGGCCCTCTCATGCTGCAACCTCGTGTTAGGCCCTCTGCCCTCTCATGCCCCACCCTCGTTCCCCACCCCCATGCTCCATCCTTCTGCCCCACCTTATGTCACACCCCTCATTGCCGCGTCTCGTTTGTTTTGCCAATTGCAAGTGCTGTTTTACGCCGCCCTGCCTCCAATCGAACATGTTTCTCTCTTGCGATTCGAAGCTAGGGTCAAATGAGTGATACCTCAACCCCTGCCTCGTCCTTGCTTCCTCGCCCTCCCTCCTCCCCCTCTCGTCACACCCCCAGGCAATCCTTCACCATGCACCTCGTGCGTCTGATGACGTCATGGGCGGTGGTGTGTGACGTGTGGTTCATGGAGCCGCAGTACATCCAACCAGGAGAGTCGGCAATTGAATTTTCTGAAAGGTGAGAGACACTGAGAGTTTTGGGTTGGAACAGCTCTACTAGTGGTGTGGTGGTGTGCGTGAGTCAACTCAGCTGTGGTGTGCGTGAGTCAACTCAGCTGTGGTGTGCGTGAGTCAACTCAGCGGTGGTGTGCGACGTGTGGTTCATGGAGCCGCAGTACATCCAACCAGGGGAATCAGCAACTGAATTCTCTGCAAGGTGGGAGAAAGAGAGAGCTGTTAGCCGTTCCAGTAGATCGACTTAGGAATGGCCCATGGTGCATGTTGTGTGGTTCATGAAACCACAGTACATCTAAACAGGGGAATCAACCATCAACTTCTCTGAAAGGTGAGATGGGGTAGTGTGCTTGTAGAATCGTCTCAAAAGGATTGACGGCGGTGTGTTTGAGTCAGTTGGACATTCCCAGGTGTGTCACGTGTGCTTCACGGAATGGAACCCCAGTACATCCAACCAGGGGAATCAGCAATCGACTTTTCTGAAAGGTGGGAGACGGTTGTGTGACCTGTGAGTCCATTCAAAAGAATGGGTGGTGGTGTGTATGGGTCAACTCAGCAGGGGTGTGTGACGTGTGATTCACGGAATGGAACCCCAGTACATCCAACCAGGGGAGTCGGCAATCGACTTCTCTGAACGGTTAGGGACAGAGAGAGTTGTAAGACGTTCCAGTAGACTCACTCAGAAATGGCCCATGGTGCATGCTGTATGGTTTCATGGCGGTGGCGTGTGATTCACGGAATGGAACCCCAGTACATCCAACTGGGGGAATCAGCAACCAGCTTCTTTGAAAGTTGAGGGATCATTATGTGATGTCTGTCCGAGCTGATATCAGAAGGATGGTTCATGGAACCACAATATAGGCCGTTGGTGCGTGTAAGTCTACTCAGCTGTAGGCCGTTGTGTGTGCCGTGTGGTTTGCGCATCAATCTGCAGTAGATCTCCTCCTCTTGTCTCCTCCCCGCCATGCATCCACTCCCGCATGCATGGCAGGGTGCGAGAGCTGATCGCACGGAGGGCGGGCATCAAGAAGGTGCCGTGGGATGGGTATCTCAAGTACTATCGACCCAGCCCCAAGCTGACGGAGAAGAGGTATGGAATGAGACAGATGCAGCCACGTACGTACATACACTTCGCACGGCTTGCTCACTCACCCTGCACGGTGATCTTTGAGTCAACTCAAAGGTCACCTTGTAGCCATGTATATCAACTCACCATTCCTTTCTCACCCTGTCACAGAGAGTGCTGCTGGGGCTTTAAGCGGGCCCTCTCCTCCCCTCTCAGGCTTTAAGGCACCTTCTTCCCCTTCTCCTCCATCGCTCTGTTCCCATCGGCCAATCCCCAGGCAAGCCAAGTACGCACACTCAGTCCACTTCACACTACTGGAGATCACAAGAAGTGCTGCTGGTGAACGTTTAAGGGACTCGTTCCCCCCCTTTCCCTCCAACCCCGCACCCATCCCCCAGACAAGCCAAGTGCGCACACTCAGTGCTGCTCACTCCACAGGAGCCACAGGGAGTGCTGCTGGGGCGTTAAGCAGCCCCTCTCCCCTTCTTGCTTTGCCCCCCGCACACACCGCCCACCACCTCTTCCCCTCCCCAGGCAAGCCAAGTACGCACACTCAGTGCTGCTCACACTGCAGGAGATCACAGGGATTGCGGCTGGGTTGCTCCCCTCACCCGATGAAGACAAGCTGGTGCTCTGATACCACAAATGCCGGTTTTGCTTCAAAGGGGAGGGGAACTTCCATTGCAAAGCATGTCCCAGTCCAGAACAAAGATGAAATCACGAATGCGCGCTTTTGAGTAACGGGAACTTATGTGAGGAGTTGGAGGTGGAGATGGAGGGCGTTTGTAGGTAGGGCTGGTCGAGCAGGTAAAGCAGGTAGAATAGGTAGCGCCACTTGTGCCAGTAATGTTAGTGCCAGTTCGATATCTGGGAGTTACTAGTTAGGGAAGGCATATGAATCTGATATCATACATCATACCCATAAGCAGAGATGCTCTTGGATTCACGACCGAATGAGATGAGGCAAGGGAATCATGAGATTGCTAGTGTGCATGACAGCTTCATTTGAGTCCCCAGGTCACCCCCACGTGAAGATAAGAAGTTACTCCTGAAGAACCGAGCAGGTGGGTGGATTGTGTGGGGGTGTGAGCAAAAAAGTAAAATGGGAAAAGGCAAAACTACTGTGCCAGCCGGGAATCGAACCCGGGTCTGCACCGGGCTCATGGCAGGGTGCTATTCTACCACTAGACCACTGGCACTAGACAGATGCAAGGTTTTTAAGTCACATAAACTAAAGCCTGTTCTCAATGGATTGAATATTTCCTAAACGTACTATCATCAAACAAGTTCAATTTTCCAGGAAGTCCGTACTAGGGATGACATATTTACAGAGCTGTTAGTGATGTAAAAGTCAACGTTACATGCCTAGTCACAGGAGACCAGGGAGGGACCAACATGTAGCCACTAACTGTACAACACTGTGTGTTACACACTGAGCCGTGGCACTACATTCGGCCCACAGAACGGCTCTGTTAGCTGATCAGCACATGCCAGCCGAATCCTCTCAGGGGTGGCGGGAGAGTCAAGACGAAAGAAGCCAGTGTGGCCGGCATCCTTCCGGGCGGCGTAGATGGCGTTTTTTATGGCCCACATGACGGATGAGCCAAGGAAGAAAGGAGGCTCACCGACCGCCTTGGATGACAGCACTGCGTGCGGATTGGGGGAGTCCTGTCATGGAAGAGGGTAGAGGGAAAGAGAAGGGGAATGGAATGGAGGGGGTGGGGACGGGGAGGGAGGGGGGAGGACAGATATAGGGGGAAAAAGGGCTGGGAGAAACGGGAATAGTGGCGCCAAAGAGAGGGAAAATATGGTCGAACATTCGCATTCTCTACTCCCTCCCTTCACTCCTTCACAGTCCCACACACTTTCTCTCTCGCACTCACAGCCAGCAGGGTGGCTGAGAAGTCAGTGGGGATGACAGACGCAGCAGGGATATTGTACGTGCCGGGCACACACGTGAACAACAATCCAGTTCTGAGATGACTCGATTTTTGAGTCTATTTTTGAGTCGACTCAAAAAGAGGTCCAGCTCTGAGACGTCTCGAACAGCCAGCCATCACTCCCACACAACGTCACCAGCGCGATCCACTACCCCATCACTCCCTCACAACCCCACACCCTCTCCCACACACACACACTCTCTCTCAACCTCTTTCGCAACTCACCGTCAGCAGAGTGACTCTAAAGTCGGTGGGAATACCAGAAGCAGCCGAGATTTTGTACATGCCGGGCCCACACGATAAGAGCGATCCAGGCACTACCAGTGAACACTCCTTACTCTCTACCTCACACCCACATTCTCACTCCCTCACACTCTGTCTCACTCACAGCAAGCAGAGTGACTCTAAAGTCGGTGGGAATGTCAGAAGCAGCCGGGATCTTGTATGTGCCGGGTCCACAGGTAAACAGCGACCCAGGCGCCACCCAGGGGTGGGCGCTATCACCCCACTTGCTCTCCTCGATCACCGACCACCCCATGCCCTGCACGAAGGCTCCCTCTATCTGCAGAAGCGAGGGGTGTAGGAAAGGAAATCAATGACAATTGTGAGAACCCCACACGTGGAAAGTGATCCAGGTGCTACCCAGGGGTGGGCGCTGTCACCCCACTTGCTCTCCTCTATCACCCACCACCCCATGCCCTGCACGAAGGCTCCCTCTATCTGCACGGATGTGGGGGGAGAGATAAGATCAAGAAGAAATCTCACGGCATATGAGTTGAACCCCCACGCATGAAGAGCGAACCAGGCGCCACCCACGGGTGAGCATTGTCGCCCCACTTGCTCTCCTCGAGTACCGACCACCCCATGCACTGCACGAAGGCTCCCTCTATCTACACACATTAGGGGTGCAGGAAAGGAGGGAGAAGGGGAAGGGGGTGAGAGGCATAGAAACTCGTCACAGGAGGAAAACAGAGCGAGATGCTACCACATATGAGAGGTGCCGCCCCACTTGCCCTCTTCAATCACCGACCACCCTGTTCCCTGCACAAACGATCAAGATTCATGATGGGAGTAGCAGCGAACTTGTCTTCAAATGGGGCGCCTCAAAAGTCTTCAATCACCGACCACCCCGTTCCCTGCACAAACGCCCCTTCTACCTGCAGAAAACGAAGACCAAGGGGGTTCTTGCAACTGACAAAGTGGATAGCTGACTCGCAAGCCACTTGCTCTCTTCCATTGGGAGCCGGGTCTCCCAATGAATTACCTGTCCATTGTCAATAGCCGGGTTCAGAGACCGGCTTATGTCCATAAGACCATCGACTGCAGCACCACGCCCTGTCAGTCAGCACATCAACCACCGCCTCTCTAACCCTATGTTGGCTGCTGCTTGGTTGAGCGTTCAACGAAGCAAGGTAACACCTCTGTCAGCAAACCAGCGTCCTCACCTGCCCAATGTCAATGGCCGGGTTGAGTGATCGCCCCACATCCATGAGAATATCAACCCTCGGCGCCACCCACTCCCCTGTCAGCACATCCACCACCACCTCCGCCACCACTGCTGTGCGTTGCGAGAGCTCACACCCAAGCCACATACCTCATTTAGCATACCTAACCGCACCCAACCTCATTCGACCTCACCTGCCCAATGTCAATGGCAGGGTTGAGTGATCACCCCACATCCATGAGAACATCGACTCGCAGCGCCACCCACTCTCCTGTCAGCACATCAACCACCACCTCCGCCACCACTGCTGCTTGTTTGCCAATCCAAACCCAACGAAAGCATACTTACCTGCCCAATGGGAACACATACCTGTCCAATATCGATAGCCGGGTTCAGCGATCGCCCCACATCCATGAGGATATCCACCCGCGGCGTCACCCTCTCCCCCGTGAGCACATCTACCACCACCTCCACCACCGCTGCTGCTGCTTCAATGTCATTGCAAAACCAAGGAAACTACCTGTCCAGAGGAACATACATACCTGTCCAATGTCAATAGCCGGGTTGAGTGATCGCCCCACGTCCATAAGCACATCAACTCGCGGCGCCACCCACTTCCCTGTGAGAACATCTACCACCACCTCCGCCAGCACTGCTGCGGCTACTCCTAGGTTGCCATTCCAAACCCAAGTCACCCACCTCAAAACACGTCCCTGTGCCATGGGAACACTACCTGTCCAATGTCTATAGCTGGGTTCAGTGATCGCCCCACATCCATGAGAATATCAACCCGCGGCGCCACCCACTCCCCTGTAAGCACATCTACCACCACCTCCGCCACCGCTGCCCCAAAGGTGAAGTATGCAAAGGGCGAGCCTGACGCTGTAGCCCAGTCGAATCCGATGTTGGGGGTGGCGAAGAAGCCTTGGGCTGACAGGTTTATTCGCTCTCTGTAGCATCGATCGGCAATCTGGGGGAATGGGGGGACGGTGCAGGGGGAAACAGAGGGGTGGGTGTGAAGCAGGCAAAGGGCGAGCCAGAGGCTGTTGCCCACTCGAAGCCGATGTTGGGCGTGGCAAAGAAGCCCTGCGCTGACAGGTTTACTTGCTCCCTGTAGCATCGATCGGCAACCTGGGAGGCGGAAGGGAGGGCAGGGGTGGGCAGGGGTGGGCAGCGGGGGAAGAGGGAGGTGCACATGGGGGGCGTGAAGTAAGGAAAGGAGAAAAAGAAGCAGTGGATCAGTAAAATTCGAGAGGGGAGGGAGGGATGGGAGCGTGAAAGGGGAAAGACGAATGGGGGAGAAAGGAGGGACGGACAAGGGTTTGAAGAGGAAGGGCGGGAATTGATGAGCTTATCCACTCTCCTGTCAACATATCAACTGCAAACCACGCCTGTACAGCACACCTGTATATCTCACTCCCCATCTATCGTTTCATCTCACCTACACTACACCGCTTCATCTCACGTACGCCGTTTCATCTCATCCACACCGTTTCATCTCACCCACGCCGTTTCATCTCCCCTACACCATTTCATCTCACCTACACCGTTTCATCTCACCTACACCGTTTCATCTCACCTACACCGTTTCAACTCACCCACACCGTTTCATCTCCCCTACACCGTTTCAACTCACCCACACCGTTTCATCTCCCCTACACCTTTTTCATCTCACCTGCCCGAACGACTCCGCCGGATACTGCTGCCTGATTGGCTCCATCCGCCGCTTGATCTCCTCACATGCTTCCAAAACCGCCCGCCCATAGATGTCTGACGATGCTGATGCAGCCGTCGGAGAGGTGTTAGGCACCTGAAATATGGGGCAGTAGGTAGGAGGGCAGCAGGAAGGGCTTTTAAAGGCCTTTCAACAGTCGTCTGCGATTCAGGGTTCGTAAGTACGAACGAGTTCAGCGCCAGGGTTGTGGGAGAGGTGCTGGGCATCTGAAACAGGTAAGAATCTGGGTAGTAAGAAGGCAGCAGGAATGTTCTCTTGAGACGTCTCAAAAGTCGTCTGCGATTCAGGGTTCATACGTATGAATGAGCTCAAAGCCAGGGCTGTGGGAGAGGTGTTGGGAACCTTATCCGTGCTGGTTTCAGAGATGAACACATTCGACAGCGGCACCCCCAGAGTCTGAGCAGCGATCTGAGCGCACTTGGTGTGAAGCCCCTGACCCATCTCCACCCCTCCGTGTGTCACCAGCACCGTTCCATCCGTGTACACATGCACCAGCGCCCCTCCCTGGTTCAGAAACTTGGCCGTGAATGAGATGCCAAACTTGGTGGGGATCATTGCGAGACCTTTCTTTCGCCACCGGCTTGTGGAGTTGTACGTGTCGATGTCGGTTCGGCGGGATACAAAGGAGGAGGAGCGCAGCAGCTGCGTCCAGATTCGGTGCATCGGGTTGTGAGTCAGCGGCTGGCCGAAGTGCAGAGTGTAACCCTCTGGTTGGAGATTTAGAAACTGCAGGAAAACGGAGGGTGGGATTGAGGGAAGCAAAAGGGGGTGGGAAGAATTGGGTTGTGGGTCAGCGGCTGGCCAAAGTGGAGCGTGTAACCCTCTGGTTGGAGGTTCAGAAACTGCACGAAGAGAGAAGGGGGAGCAGGGGCGAGGAAGGGGGTTGGAAGAAGAAGAAGGGGGAAGGGAAGGGGAGAGCGCATGGAAAGCGATGCTGCATGGCCGCGAGTGTCGGTACCATGGAGCGATTGTGTCCGGATTCAGTGCATCGAATCAGGGGTCAACGGTTGGCTGACATGCAAACAAAGCAAAGTTTCACTCTGAAAAAATCAAGTATCTCACCTGAATCTCTTCCCAACGCTCCTCGCCACTTGGTCAACCACACTCTCCATCACCATCACCATCATGCCCTGTTTTGAGACGTCTCAAAACACTTCTGCTACCACTTGGTCAACCACACTTCCCATCACCATCACCATCATCATGCCCTGTTTTGAGACGTCTCAAAACACTTCTGCTACCACTTGATGAACCACACTCTCCATCACCATCACCATCACCATCACCATCACCATCACCATCACCATCACCATCACCATCAACATCACCATCACCATCACCATCACCATCACCATCACCATCAACATCACCATCACCATCACCATCACCATCACCATCACCATCACCATCACCATCACCATCACCATCACCATCACCATCACCATCAAGCCCTGCTCCACCCACCACCAGTATCACCCGGTACATCATAGACCTTACTCCGCAAAACCAAGACTCACCCTTATTTCCTCCGCACTCTTCCCAACGGTCATCGCCACATGGTCGAGTGCACTCTCCATCACCACCATGCCCTGCTGCCCGCCACTCGTGATAACTCTCCCTGCATATAAGCAAGCAGCTCACCCTTATCTCTTCCGCGCTCTTCCCAAGGGTCCTCGCCACGTGATCAATCACACTCTCCATCACCATCATGCCCTGCGGTCCCCCGAACCCCCGGAACGCCGTGTTGGATGGCAGGTGCGTGCGTGCCATGCGCCCCCGCGCGTGCATGTGCAGTGCTGAGTAGACGGAGTCGCAGTGGAAGAGAGCTCGCTCGAGCACTGCTGCTGAGAGGTCGAGCGTGCAGCCGGCGTTCGACACGAGCAGGACTTGGACGGCCACGAGACGACCAGAAGGGGTGAAGCCCACCTGTCCAGAGCGGGTGAGAGGAGGATGGGAAAAGGAGGGAGGAGGGTTGAGCGGGGGGTAAGAAGGTGTGTGCGAGCCATGTGCCTCCGGGCGTGCATGTGGGGAGCTGAGTAGACGGAGTCACAGTGGAATAGGGCTCTCTCTAGCACTGCTGCTGAGAGATCGAGAGTGCAGCCGGCATTGGAGATGAGCAGGATTTGCAGCGCCACCAGTCGACCTGACGGTGTGAAGCCCACCTGACCAGAGGGGGAGAGAGAGACGGGGAGGGGGAAAGGGGGGGGAGGCTTGAGGGGGGAACAGTCAGGTGCCATGTGCCTGCGCATGTGCATGTGTGGTGCTGAGACGAACTGATGGGGTGAACCCCACCTGACCAACAAAGGGGGCAGAGCAGGGAGGCGAAGGGGGCAACATGCAGGCAAGGGAGAAGAGTGTCGGGTTGATGCAAGCTTCGCCATGCCACACCATGCCATGCCACACCATGCCATGCCACACACACCATGCCATGCAATGCTCGTAACATCTCACCTTGTACCTCACACGAACCATCTCACTCACCTTGAATTTGCCATAGAAGGGGTGTCGCTGCCCCGTGACCTTCATATCATCGTCCCTATCCAACGTGATTCTCACAGCCCTCTGCACCTTTGCGTGTTCCGAGTCGTCTCAGAACACCAAGTGACTCTCACAGCCCTCTGAAAGCACCAACAGGGCATTTCACCTTGTACTAGAGAAACAGCTTCCCACTCACCTTGTATTTGGCGTAGAAGGGGTGTCGCTGCCCCGTGACCTTCATATCATCATCCCGATCCAACGTGATCCGCAGAGCCCTCTGCAACCGCCACGCCGACATTTCACCTTGTACTAGAGAAACAGAGTGTCACTCACCTTATACTTGCCGTAAAAAGGGTGTCGCTGCCCCATGACTTTCATATCATCGTCCCTCTCCAACGTGATCCTCACCGCCCTGTTCAACCGCCAAGCCGGAACACACGCCGCCACCAGCACACTCACTTGAACCTGCCAACCCACCACCCACCTTGTATTTGCCATAGAAGGGGTGTCGCTGACCCGTGACCTTCATGTCATCGTCCCGATCCAACGTAATCCTCACAGCCCTATTCAACCGCCAAGCCGGCACACACGCCGCCGCCGCCACCAGCACGCTCCGTGTCTCCTTCCCCCCAAACCCCCCTCCCAGCCGCTTAACCCTCGAAACCACCCTGTGCATAGGGATTCCGAGGGCAGAAGCAACGTCCTTCTGGTGGTGTGTGGGGGCTTGTGTGGAGCACAGCATATGGACTTCCCTTCCCCCGTCCACGGGCCAGACCACGCAGGTGTTGGGTTCGAGGTAGAAGTGCTCTTGCCCGCCCATTGCCAGCTCGCCTTCGAGTACCAATGGGCATTGGGACACGTCAGCAAGGACGGATTCCACATCAGCAGCGGAGACGGAGGACCCGGTCCGGGCGGCGAGCACTTGGAAGCTTGCTGAATCAGCTGGGGAGGGTTTGACTATGTTGTTCTCTTCTGAGCCGTTTTCTTGATCGGTTTTCTCAGGGGGGTTAGGGACCCTGAGGAGGTTTCTTTCGGTCTGCCCGCCCGAGAACGGGAATTTGTGGAAGCTGCCCGAAGCAAGGGCTTCCTGGATGGTGAGTACTGCGGGCAGGTCCTCGTAGATCACTTTGACCTTTTTTGCGGCTGCCCGGGCGTGGTCGTGAGTGTCGGCAACAACCACTGCAATGATCTGTTGAGGGGCAGAAAAAAAAAGGGATAACCAGAGAAAGAAGACAGCCGCAAAGGGTTGGGGAAATTGACTGTCAGGAAGGAAGAAATATTAAAGCTGGTGGAGTTGAATAAGTAAGAGAGGGAGCTAGGTGAATATGTAACTGCAGACCCCTCTGCCCCTCCCATACCGGTCCCTCCCATACTTGCCCCTTCCACAGATCCCCCACACCCACCTGTCCCACACAGTGCACACTCTCCGAAGCAAACACCTCCTCATCGTGCTCCACCGCACCGAACCGGTTGCTACCAGGCACGTCCTTGGCTCCAAACATCCCCAAAAATCCCGGACAGGTGGCGGCCTCTGATTGGTCGATGGAGAGGATGCGGGCGTGGGGACGGGTGCTGAGGACGAGAGCCCCGTGCAGGGCGGAGGGGGGTAGGGGAGTGTCGTCTGCATACTCTGCTTCCCCTGTCACCTGAAAGAGGGGCAAGGGCAGTTAGGGAAATAAGAGACACAAGAGACACAAGAGACACAAGAGACACAAGAGACACAAGAGACACAAGAGACACAAGAGACACAAGAGACACAAGAGACACAAGAGACACAAGAGACACAAGAGACACAAGAGACACAAGAGACACAAGAGACACAAGAGACACAAGAGACACAAGAGACACAAGAGACACAAGAGACACAAGAGACACAAGAGACACAAGAGACACAAGAGACACAAGAGACACAAGAGACACAAGAGACACAAGAGACACAAGAGACACACACACAACGCGAGTGCTGAGGACGAGAGCACAGTGCAGGGCGGAGGGGGGGAGGGGAGTGTCGTCTGCATATTCCGCCTCGCCTGTCACCTATAGGGGGACGACCAAGGAGAACAAATGAAGGGAGGATGCGGGCGTGCGGCCGGGTGCTGAGGACGAGAGCACCAAGCAGGGCGGATGGGGGGAGAGGCGCGTGATCAGCATACTCTGCTGCCTTTAGCGGCGCCACTGGTACTGCCTTTAGCGGCGTCACTGGTACTGCCTTTAGCGGCGCCACTGGTACTGCCTTTAGCAGCGCCACTGGTACTGCCTTTAGCGGTCCACTGGTACTGCCTTTAGCGGCGCCACTAGCACAGTCGCTGATCTGAACCCACCTGACGAAAGCAGGACGCACCTGCAGGTCAGCAGCGAGGTGAACAGCCGGCACTCCCACCACCTCCCCTGCTGCCTTTCCCCCTCCTCCCTCAGTAGCTGCACCCTCTGCCAAGGGTCTAGCCTCCCATGCTTGCATGCCACGGGGATAGGGGCGAGGGAGAGAGTCCAAAGCGGACAGGTAGGTGGGGGGCGGCCACACGGAAGCTGCGTCGCTGCTGCTGCTGGCGTTGGCTGTGGTGCTGATGGTTGTGAGGGTGCTCTTCTCTGCTTCCAGGTCTGCTCCTGCTCCTCCCTCTGCTCCTGCCCCTCCCTCTGCTCCTGCCCCTCCCTCTGCTCCTGCCCCTCCCTCTGCTCCTGCCCCTCCCTCTGCTCCTGCCCCTCCCTCTGCTCCTGCCCCTCCCTCTGCTCCTGCCCCTCCCTCTGCTCCTGCCCCTCCCTCTGCTCCTGCCCCTCCCTCTGCTCCTGCCCCTCCCTCTGCTCCTGCCCCTCCCTCTGCTCCTGCCCCTCCCTCTGCTCCTGCCCCTCCCTCTGCTCCTGCCCCTCCCTCTGCTCCTGCCCCTCCCTCTGCTCCTGCCCCTCCCTCTGCTCCTGCCCCTCCCTCTGCTCCTGCCCCTCCCTCTGCTCCTGCCCCTCCCTCTGCTCCTGCCCCTCCCTCTGCTCCTGCCCCTCCCTCTGCCCCTGCCCCTCCCTCTGCCCCTGCCCCTCCCTCTGCCCCCGTTCCCATTTTCCCTGGCAGCAGCTGCTGCTGAGTGTGTGCATTCACGCGGTGGGCCACGAGCAGAAAGAACTTGAAGAAGAAAGAGAGAACGAGAGACCCCCTGAATTCAGGCATGCCTCCAGGTGCGTTCTCAGGCACGGAGATCTCCTCCTGAAGCACCTGAAGGGCCACCTGAAGGGTTTCCTGAGTCCAGGGGCGGCCGAGCAGATGTTGCTGCGTGCGGTGGGCTGATACAGTTGTTGCTGCCACGCCGCCGAAGACAAGGGAGCAGTCGATGACAGTAGGAGGGGCGTCTGGAAAGAAGGAGAAGAGGGAGAAAGGGGGAGAAAGGGCAAGAGATTAACAGCAACGTTTGCTTGTTCTGTTGTTGCTGCCACACCGCCGAATACGAGCGAGCAGTCGAGGACGCACGGTTGGGCGTCTGGAAGGGGGGAGAAGAGGGAGAAAGGGGGAGAAAGGGGGAGAAAAGGGGAGAAAGGGGGAGAAAGGGGGAGAAAAGGGGAGAAAGGGGGAGAAAAGGGGAGAAAGGGGGAGAAAGGGGGAGAAAAAAGGGAAAAAAGGGCGAGAAAGGGATGGCAAAGGTTGAGCTGCGGCTGGTTTCAAGTGAGTCGGTACAATACAACGCCGAACTACTGGCGGATGGTTTTTGAGAATTCTAAAAAACCAGCTAGTGAGTCGGTACAATACAACGCCGAACCACTGGCGGATGGATGGATGGGGGGATGACGGATGGCGAGTCAGTGGATGAGCAGATGGGAAATGGGCAGAGGGACAGATGGGTGTACGGGAGGGTGGATAATTTGGCACATGGAAACCCACCTGGTGGGAGCGGCGGATGGGAACCCACCTGGAGTGGGAGGGGAGAGCACCACGCGCAGAGCGGCATTCACGAGAGCAATGTCGTCGTCCTTGCGGTGTGCCTGCTTGACCTTTGACTCGACTCACAGTTTATTTTTACATGTTGGCATGGGCAGCGGGCACCAACCCTCCTGGACTGGGAGTGGATGGGCGCCCACCTCGGCTTGGAGGGGAGGGCAGCACGCGCAGAGCGGCATTGACGAGAGCAATGTCGTCGTCCTTGCGGTGTGCCTGCTTGCCCATTGACTCGACTCAGTTACCTCATTCATATTGTCATGGGCACCCACTTATCTGGATTGAGAGGGGATGTGCACTCACCTGGAGTGGGAGGGGAGAGCAGCACGCGCAGAGCCGCATTGACAAGGGCAATGTCGTCGTCCTTGCGGTGTGCCTGCTTGTATGCCACTATGTGCTCATTGGGATGCGTCCTGGGCATGGAGAGGAAAACAAAGAAGAAGAGATTGAGATCGAATAAAGGGCACGGAAACGGAACAACAGCACGAACGAAACTCCGAGTGGGAAAAAAACAACGAGCGAACAAACCAAAAACATCAGCTGAGTTGGCTTAATTAACGAACACATAACTCTTCTTAGATAAGTCATTGAATACGGCATAAAAGCAAAATGCATAGAACTCAAGTCAGCCTGGGGCTATTCACGCACCAGTCTGAACGAAGTCACCAAGGAATGAACATAGCAGTGAGGACTTCTTTTTTGAGAATTCTCAAAAGCTTTTTTCACCGTACCGATCCCGTCAACCCACTCACCACGGAATGAACACAGCAGTGAGGACTTCGCCCTCCCTCAAATCCACCTTCCGGTACCCCTTGAAGAAATCCCGTGCTGCCACCTGTCGCTGCTCGATTGGACGGGAGGATTGCTGGGCCTTGTCCACGTCAGCACATGCTACCACGTCAGCATCAGCCACGTCAGCAGCCCGAGGTGCCAGCCTGGCGAGGTGGAACGTCGCGTTGGCAGCGATGAAGATGGGGTTGAGGTCGGATATGGGGCTGGCTGTTACGATGTTACCAGCTAGCGTTGCCACGTTGCGAATCTGAAAAGGGAGTGAGGAGAGGAGGAGCAAGGGAGGGGCATAGACGAACGAGAGATGGGGAAGAAGGTAGAGGAATGAGTTTCCATTCCAAGGCAAGGCATGCAGCGCCTGTAACAGAGCTGGTGTTGCCAGCTCGCGTTGAAGTGTTGCGAATTCCAAGGGGGACATGAACGGAAGATGGGAGAGGGGGGCAGCCAGATAGGGTACATCGGCATGCCACATGGGCTATCCCAAAGGGACGCAGTCCAGCAGGTGAATCTCCTTACCTGCACACCAGCGAACCACCTCAGTTGCTCCGCTACAGCCGCACACACAGCCGTTTTGTGAGCTGGTATACCCCCCACTGCTGCCAGCATGGCTTGGCGCAGGGCGGACAGGGAGGCTGCTGCACCCACGGTGATGCCGTGCTCTGATTGGCTGATCTCTGAGAGCGCAGGGATGGCTGCCACGTGGATGTAGGCTGGAGGGCTGGGAAGGAACGGTAGGGGAAGGGGGACAGCGAGACGTGATGGAAGAGGGAGCGAAAGGGGGACAGGGAGAGAGAGAGGCGTGGGGAGCAAGGACAGGATGAAAAAAGAGGGGAGGTTTGGACAGGAGCAGTGGGAGAGAGATAGATGGGAGAGAAAGAGATGGGAGTGAGTGGGAGTGGAGATGGAGAAATGGAGCAGGGGTCGACGGGCGACGCGAATCTCATCCCACCGAAGCACCAAATCAAATCCGTTTCACCCATCTGCACCGCACTCAAACTTAGCTGAGCCCCTTGAACCGCATCTCCACGCCAACCTCCGTGTTCCCTGCCACCACCTTGGCTGCAGGAAAAGCTTCTCGCAGCGCCAACAGCTGGCGCAGTGTGATTGGTCGAAACCACACCGCCCTGCTCCTCTCCTTGCTGCTGCTACTGCTGACAGTGGCAGCAGCACTGGCAGAAGCATGCAGTAGCAGGTAGTTACAATCCCCGAGGCACGATGGCAGTGGGTGCTGGGATCGCCTCAGTAACTCAGGAGGAAAAATCGGCTCTGAGACTCCCAGAAGGTCAGCTTCTATGCCATTCGCTGCTGCTGCTTCTTCAACTTTGGATAGTGCTGGCGGTGCTGCTGCTGATGTTTTCGAGCAGGGCTTGGCGTTGCTGCAACTGCCATCTTTACAGCACTTAGCCTCGTTCCTTTGGGCAGCTGAAAATTTCGTGCACGCACAGGGCAGGCCAGTGGAAGGACAAAGCGCCGCCCCAAGCTGCCCGTCAACAAGCCCATCCCGAAGAGTCACTTTAGAAGCAGCACGTGAAGCACCATGAGAAGCAGCAGCATGGGAAGCTGCAGTGTCAGCAGCATAGGCAGCAGCGTCGGCGCGAGCAAAGGTGCGAAAGGCCTCGAGAATGGGCCGGTAGCCGGTGCAACGGCACAGGTTGCCTGATATTGCCTCCTCTATCTCAGCTTCGGAAGGCAACAAGGAAGATGAGGAAGCAGAGGAAGCAGAGGCGGCTGGGGCGGCGGAGGAGGAGGCGGAGGAGGAGGCTGCAGAGGAGGAGGAGCGGAGCAGAGCATACATGGACATGGCAAACCCCGGTGTGCAGAAGCCGCACTGAGAGCCGTGAGAGGAGGACAGAGCCGCCTGCACCGGATGCAGCCTCCCCCGCGTGCTGCCGATGCCCTCCACTGTAACCACTGCTGCCCCTTCCACGCTGTATAAAGGGGCCAGGCACGCGTTCACTGCACAGTGGCTGGTGGGGAGGGTGCGGAACGGAAGGAGAGGATAGAGCAAGCGCTTCATGCGCTCAGGTCAGTTGCTATGAGTGCTGCCGATGCCCTCCACTGTCACCACTGCTGCCCCTTCTACACTGTATAGCGGGGCCAGGCACGCTTCACTGCACAGTGGCTGGTGGAGAGGGGGGAACAGAAACAGAGGAATGGAAACGCAAGGACAGGGCGTTGTGGTGCGTGCTGTCGATACCCTCCATTGTTGACACCGTTGCTCCCTCCACACTGTATGAAAGAGCCAGGCACGCATTGACTGCACGGTGGCTGGTGGGTGGGGGAAGATGGGGGTTGGAGGGCAGGAATAGAAATAGGAAGGGAACAAGAGGGAAAATTGGGGATTGGGAAGTTATGGCATGAACGAAGTGAGAGATTTGGGGCTTCTACTGCATACCGAGCATCCACCATCCTTACGTCCATCCAATGCGCATGCACACTCTCACTCACGCACCCTCTCACTCACCCATTGAACTTCTCTACCGTAACTCACCTGATTCTTCCTGTCTCCGCGTCTACCCGCGACACCATCACAGTGCACGCCCCGCACCCACCCTCCCCGCACCCCAGCTTCGTTCCTGTCAAGCCATTGTCTGCCGGGACGGGGGGGAGGGGGAGGGGGAGATGGAACGAGAGAGGGGCAGAAGGTGGAAGGGGAGGGGTAGGGGGAGATGGAACGAGAGAGGGGCAGAAGGCGGAAGGGGAGGGGTAGGGGGAGATGGAACGAGAGAGGGGCAGAAGGCGGAAGGGGAGGGGTAGGGGGAGATGGAACATTAGAGTGCACGCCCTGCACCCGCCCTCCCCGCACCCTAGCTTCGAGCCTGTCAAGCCATTGTCTGCCGTGATGTGGGGAGGGGGGGAGGTGGGGAGGTGGGGAACGGGAACGAGGGATGGACACAAGGTGGAAGGAATGGGGTGCTGAGCGGGGGAGTCGAAAGGACGGTGGCCCGGGGAAGGGGGGAAGCGGAGGGTGGAGGATGGAGAAGGATGCACGAGGGGACGATTGCGGGAGTCAGGAAAAACGAAAGAGAAAGGGATGAGAGAGAGGAGAGGAGCGGAGATGAGTTGAATCCACAAGGTGCGCATGTAAGCAACACACTTAACAAAATAATTGTTTACGTAGTGTTTGGTCTTAAATAGGAGATACGGTAGTAACAAAGTTCTAAGCACAGCACGAGCTTAACAAGCTGAATTTCCAGGCAACCCGAGCTTGCTACTAGTAGCTGGTAACTAGGAGTCGGTAACTAGCAACTCGTAACACGTAACCATCAAGTTTATACAGCGAGCATCAGCCGCTGCTACTAGTAACAGTCACAAGCGTTGGCTGCTTTTGCTAGTAGTAGTATTTACAAGCGTCAGCCGAAGCACGCATCAGAAGCGCGGCAGGAGGTGTCGCGCGTGACCCGATAAGCACAAAACTCGCGCCAACTTTTGTAGAAAATTCACATGGCTCACCCTTGGAAGAAATAAACATTAAATAGAACCACCATCACTTAAATTCGAATTCAAACCTTTAAATTTCTGGAAAAAAGGCTAGTCCGGATTCAGCCGTACCGCGCAGGAACTGCAGCAGCGTGGTGTCGGCGTGACCTGCGGGGAGCACGAACCGCCGGCCATTCACGAACACCACGGGCTCTGTCGCCGCGGCTTCGCGAAAGAACGTCGTGAGTTGGTCGTCGTCCATTGCTTATTCGCAAACTACGATGATGAGCAGTACGGCTTGCGAATTTAGATTCAACGGGCCTTATCAATCAAGCTACGTACAAAACTACCGTGAATGTGAGTGAGCAATTCTCCTCAGCACAATCAGAGCACTTCCACGTGTATTTGCCAGCCGAAGCCTTTGCCAGAAAAAGGTGATGCAACGTGGTTGTTTGTGATGCACTCGTTACACGAATCTTACACGTGATGCTAATATGTATTCTCGCATATGTTTATCATATAATTTAGTCATTAAAGGCCTCAAATATCTCATCTGTATACCATCTGGTTGCAGAATCCAGTCTGCTTGCAAGCCTTTCAGCGGTTACAGCTTGATGATGAGAAATAAACTACAAATTCGTAAAAACTCCATTCTACTTCTATAACCAGCATTTATTAGGCAAACGGTGGAGAAATCTCTAGTTCATGTCACAGCAGGTCAGTTCTGATCTACAGTGCAAGCTTCTTGATTCCTGGGAAAGAGGGTCGAATTGATACAAGAGCATCGCCAAAGCCAACCGCATCCCCATCCTCCACGAGGAATTTGACCACCTCTCCCGCACTCTCCGACTGGGTTACACCGAGACAATGCACCAATTAGGAAAACAGGAGCACAATAGGGAGGGGGGTGGGGGGGGAGGCGCTGTCATGAGGCGGTATGCAGGCAGTGTTGCCTCAGCAGAGTGCAGCAGGAGAGAATCGCCAGGTGGGGCACACACAAGGAAATGAACACGCCCATGTCTAGGGTCTAAAACATCTCCTTCAGAAACCAACATGATATGCAAAGCTATATATTTAGGAGGGGCATACCTCGATCGCGAGTTGTGTACCGAGCTGCTCTAGATAGCACACCACCTGCCCCTTCTTTATGGTCGAGCCCTGAGCCAGGAAAGAAACAAACATCAGCACATGTAACACAGGAGAGCCCAATATTTTCATGTTAAAGTGGGTGCTGTGTCAGGAGCGTCATTTCATAGCATGTGGATGGAATGGAAGGCACATGCCAACAATAGCAACGCCCCAGTAAGTTGCACCCAGAATGGCATGACATGCCATGATGCATCGTTAGACAAAAAAAATGGTTCAAAATGAAAAGCAGCACTTTCCGTGTAGCTGCCTTCTCTCCTCCAGATCCACATCACCCCCTTCCGTCACTCTCCTTCCCCACACACTTTCCCTTTCAGCGCCTTCCCTTCTCCCAGCCTCACCTTATCGACGAGCTCTTGACCTTATTGACCAGATTTACCTTATCAGCCAGCCTATTCTCACCTCAGTGACTAGCGCCTTGCCCTTCTTGCCCTTGACCTGCCGACCACGACGCATGATGCCCACCTGTTAATATGGGGAAGGAGGTGGGGGAAGTGGGGAAGAAGGCGGAGAGGGGAGAGGGTCCAGCAGGAACTCTGGTCGAAATGGGAGCACGGGGAGAAGAGAAGAATATGCACAAGTACGAAAACAAGGGGAGAGATATGCGCGGTGGAGGAAAGGCAGGATGTCACTTCGTTTCTAGAGAAGCTGTTACTTTCGTTCGCAGTCCATTTTCAGCAGTGGTAATAATATGCCACGGGTGGTGCCACCACAAACCCCTCCACTGGGTCGATCTACCAATACCGACGCTGTGAAGGCGGTGAGGTCAGATACAAACAAAAAAGCTTTCTCGCACGCTTTTCTCACTCTTTCGGCCGCAGCAGGGCGCAGCTACAGGCAAGGTATGGGCAGCAGCAGCAATCACTTCAGTTCCCCACTGGGTTTGTCTGTCAACTCACCCGCGGCGAGGTCACATATTGAAGCCCTTCATCCACGCCTGCCTCGCTCTCAGCCGCAGCAGGAGGCGCAGCAACAGGCGCGGAAGGGGCGGCAGCAGCTAGGGACGCAGGCGAGTCGAACATGGGGGGAAGGGGGGCGTGCGGCGCAAAGGCTAGCGCCTGCGCGGCCTTGACCCCGCCCACGTCCCTCCGCACGTGTAGCTCCATCTTGCCGATCTGATTGGGCCCGGCAGGTGGGATGATGGGAGATGGGAACGAGCATGGTGTGGCATTAGTTGGCGTGAACAAGGCAGGAAGGAACGGGTGAGGTACGACGCGGAAGAAGAAATGAACTCAATGAACAGAAACGAAATGGTAGCAGCTTGATGGATGTGATTTTCATTCCCCCTTTTTCGTGTCTGATTTTGTGAGTCGCACCTTGATTCTGAGCTCGGCAATCTTGGTTTCGTCGCAGAGCTCCATCAGCAGCGACTGGATCTGAGGGCGCCATAACGGATGGGTGAACGAATGAAATGAAAGGATTCAAAAACCTTAACCCGTGAAATGAGCCAGAACCATTGTTGCAGACGTCCATCAGCAGCATCACGAAGATGTGTACGGATGATTCATAGCCATAACCCGTGTTCCTTTATTGAGAGGGAGAATTGAGGATTATCACTCGCACATAGGAAGACAACTACAGAAACACACCTCGAAGGCAGTCGCACGCTCGCTATTAAGTCGACTAAAATGACACGTAACTACTTGCACATCGGAGGGCATCTAAAGAAACGCACCTCGAAGGCAGTCGGAAGAGGGAGGTCATCATGAATGCTCTCAGCAGCCTCCTCCTCTTTGTCCTGTTCGGCCTTGACCTTCCCCTCTGCTTTATCTCCTTGGACAACTGTATTGTCACTCAAAACGACCAACGGACCAAAGGAGCAGTTAGGAAGAATATCTGACTGACCGTCTAAGCTAACAGGCGTAAAAGCCCTGTACTAGCTCTTTATCGTCCTAAAATCCGAGTGACTTCTCACATCGTCCGATTCGAGAACCCGTAAACCAATCAAACATAGTGACTAGTAGGATTGCTTAGCCGGCTCAGACACTGCGGATCTTACGCCGGTCAGTGGCGACCGCATGCCTTCTCTGGATCGAGGCTCTCCACGATGAGGCAGCGAGTCGCAGAGGCGAGGTCGCTGCGATTCGCGAAGACGACGATTGCGAAAGAAAGCTCGCGGGTTGCGAAGATGACGCGGATGCAGACGCAGCGATGCGTGCTACAGCCGTGGACACTGCTCGGGCAAAACGGGGGAAATCAGAGTTCCATTGAACAGGGCTCGATCGATTTGACTTCGCAAGTTGTTCCAATTTCGTGCATAATTGACACGAGATTAATCGATGGCAACAGCAGATTACGGGATCCACATAGAAAGCCAAGAGCACCTTGAGAGGAGGTGGTGAGAGAAGCCATGTTTCTTTCAGTCTCAGCTGATTCAGGCAATTTTAGGATGAAACAAGCCAACCAGCGCTGTGATTAGGAGCTAGTGACACCAACTGGAATTAGCGCTTG